ATATAGAGAGAGAGAGAGAGAGAGAGAGAGAGAGAGAGAGAGAGAGAGAGAGAGAGAGATTATAGAAATGTTTCGTATAAATTCAGTCCCTTTGAAATTCTTCTGTGATGACCTGATGTATGAAGTGCTCATAGCTGACCCCTCTTTGGCTACCTCTATAAAGTTTTATGTGTTTTAAATTTGGGCTGCTCAGTGGACCAGAGGGTAGAACTGCTGCTTTGCAGCAAGAAGGTTCTGGGTTCAATTCCCAGCCCAGGGTCTTTCTGCATGGAGTTTTCATGTTCTTCCTTGTGCATGCATGAGTTCCATTCGGGTACTCTGGCTTCCTCCCACAGTCCAAAGACATGAATGTTAGGTTAGTTGGCTTGGTTGTTTCCCCTTATTTTCTCTGTGTTGGCCTGCGATGGACCGGCAACCTGTCCAGGGCGTACGCAGCCTCTTGCCTGTAGACAGCTGGAGATAGGCATCAGCATCCCTTGGGATAAGCTGGATATTGATGGATGTTTTAAACTTCTACTCAGCTTACTTATAAGCTGATTGTAAAGATAATTACAATACTGTATATCTTTATTAGGGGTGTCAGAATAAAGGGGGACTAAACACTAGCAACTAGCCTATAAAGAGATGTGTATTTGTATCTGTGTTGGCTTTGCGTAGACTTAAGGTATAATTTGTCCCTATATCACAGCCTTTTTTTGTTGATCTAAAATGAAAAATACTGATATAATTAATTGAATTATGATTAATTATTTAAAAAAAAAATCAATATAAAAAGGGTTTATGGGTGAATACTTTTGCTATTATGCAATAATCTTTGTTAGATAAAAGTGCACCATATCTCGTCTTAATAAAGGTCTGCTCTGAAGTTGTCCGGGAGCTCTGCTGATCATGTAGAGAATAACACAGCACTTTGACAAAAAAGCAAAAAAAAGAAAAGAAAACACACCACAGTAACAGCCGTCTATCGCCGCCAGCTGCCTCTGAGAACATCTGATTGGATCTTCTGATTGACTGGCACATTTTCTGGTAGTTCTTATTGGTTCGGAGGTAATAGGACACCATGAAAGGGCTCTACTGAGGGCGGTATGCGTCGGAGGAGGCGGAGCTCTCCGTGGTACTTAAACAGAGTTGGTGCCAGAAAGAAGTGAAGTACGAGCTTCGCACTGCAGCCGGAGCGCCCGGTGCGTGCTGCAAAATCTGAAGGAGAAGCGAGAAGAAAGAGGGGAGAAAAAAAATCGAGAAGGGGATCAGGGGACTTAGCAGCCCTCTCCACTCATGGATCATAAGGATATCTAGACATTCGCCCTCGGGAGCGCACAGGTATTCCCTACATTTCCTACTACTGCTGTGCGTAAAGATTGGCCTTCAAATAAAGTGGATCATAGTTTTTATGCCTGTTTGTTTGGCTTGCTCTCCTTTTCCTTTCATCTGATGTAATGATTGCAATTGAGTGTCAGGGAGCAGGGGGCAGCTGATCATTGATTGGCTTAATACTATGACAGCTTTTGCCCTTGTGCGCACTGATCCCTGGTGTTCTTTGTGTTTTTCTTAGAATAGCTACTATCGATTTTGTTTTGTGAAAGGTGGTGTTTTTAATGCTTTTTGTGCTCTCACTTTCACCCCTAGACACCACAGTCCATGCCTCTGCCTTGCCGGGTCATTGATGGGAAACCAACTGGATCGGATCACCCACCTCAACTACAGCGAGCTGCCCACGGGGGATCCGTCCGGGCTGGAGAAGGACGAGCTTCGGGTCGGCGTCGCTTACTTCTTCTCTGACGAAGAGGAGGAGGTGGACGATCGCACTCCGTCCGACTGCGGCTTCACCAAGGACCACAGCCCCGTCGAGGAGGGACCCTTCTCCCTCAGTGAGGTGGAGTACTCAGCATTCTGCTCCCAGGAATGCATCTTCTCAAAGCTGCGGGAAAACGAGGACCTGAACGTGTACTCGGCCAAAACTTTGCTGACTATGTGCAAGCCGGGGGACCTTCTGGAGCTGGTGGCCACTGCGCAAGCCCCCCACTGGGTCATCTACCAGCATGAGGACCAGATCATCCACCTGCACAAGGGAGAAATCCGCAGGGACAGTTTGTTGGAGATCAGCAACGGCCGACATGGAAGAATAGTCAACAATCGGTACCGATTCAGACCGCTTCCCTCGGACCTGGTGATGCAGAACGCTTCTGGACACTTGGGCCTGAGAAGCGAGGAGATTTGTTGGACCAATTCAGAAAGTTTCGCTGCCTGGTGCCGCTTTGGGAAACGGGAGTTCAAATCAGGCGGGGAGGCGCACTCTGCGGAGCAGCAGTATTTCCTCAAAGTGCACCTGTCCGGCAGCGGGGTGCACACGCTGGTTTTTCGGAGCCTAGAGGACATGATCCGGGAGCGGCGGAGAGTGGACGCCAGTGGAATTCTTAAAGAGCTCTCTATGGTGAACGGAAGCAAAGACTGATCAGGATTTCCATTTGTTATCCTCCTCCCCCTGTCACCAAAGCGCATGGACGCACGCTTTGGCACACAGACAAACAGTAGCCCCCCAACCCACACACACACGCACACAATAATGCTCCGTCAGACGCGCACACATGAATAAATGACCTGTTGTTTTGGGACTAGCTGATTGTTCACAACGGACTCGGACGCACTGTGGATTTTCCGATATGAATAAGAAAACCGAGAAATGATGGAGCGCGGCCATATAAACAGACAACGCCCCACATGGTTAGGAGTCGCGCACACGGTTTCCAATGAACTCCTTTCACCCAGAAAAGGTTGAATCACATGTAAACAGCACACCAGACTCGGTTTTATTATGTGGAAAAATGGATCTGGCTCTTTTCTTCACTGCAGCAGCAGAGCAGACCGGATGAGAATGGGATTTGGGTGTAGATGGGATCTGGGGATGTCTCTCGGAGTTCTCCCTTCTATTTTTTTACTGTTACGACCAGGACAGACTCCCCACGACACAGACCCGAGCCCCTTAATGATTCATAGACCTCTGACCGCCTCAGCTGGTTGCAGCAGTTGCCTAAACAAAGCGTCTTGGCTTGACCAAGCTCCTCTTTTTGCCATATTGTTCTCTCCACAATGCTGTCATCTCGCTCACAGCACTGGATGTATGTGTAAATTGTATTCATACATTGATTTGAAAATTTGAGTCCGTTATTTTTGTATTTAAGTTTAGTGGATTTATCTCCTTTTTTGGTTCAAATAAATGAAGATTGAAATATGTAAAAAAAAAAAGAACCTGGTCTTTAGGTGTTGTTTGGCTGCACACACGCACACAGTGTTGCACTCTCACTTTAGAATGCAGACACATATGTATAAAATATTCATGCTCAGATACCTCATGACCTCTCAAACCATACACACTACACACATCTTTATTGTAATCTGCATCGAACAAAGAGCATAAATCTGTGATCTCACAGCTTTGTCTGAGTGTTGTTTACAATTACTTCAGCAAAAGGCATTTCATAACCTATGTTCTGATATGGATTTTACAGACTCTTACAGAAGACTGACCACATTTTACATATCTAGTGTATAATCCTTATCATTAAATAACACAGCTGCTTATCTTTATCTGTTTCTTTCTGTAAGGGTTGCACAAAGGCTTTGTTTTTAGTGACTTTAATCAATTGAGGTTGGATCAATCAACTCATCATACAGATATTTGATCTGGTGCTGTTTTGGGTTTTTTTTTTCTTTGGAAAAAATTGAAAGGACAAGGAAGCACATCGGTGGAGGTGTTTGGCCTTGAGGCATGCTATTGTAGAGCATGTTGCAGCCATTAGTCTTAAATTGATCGTAAACATTAACAAAGGGTAACTGTTCACTGTGTTGGAGATCATATGATTGTATAGAGAAAAACACAGCTTGCTTAATTGACTGATCATCTTCAGGTATTTTTGTTTGTGGCAACATACAGTAAAGGACACAGTTGCAGATTTATTTTTATATTTATTTATTTTTTGATGATCTATGAAGGGAAAACATACCATATAACAGTAAAGCTTATTTTAATTATGTATCTGAAGCACTTACATCCTAAATCTTGCATTTGGTTTGTGTGTTTAGATGGGTACATTTTGTAACCTTAGTGAAATAGGTACAGTGCCGGAATGTAGACTACTAAAACTGCAAAACCCCAATATGTGCTTTGAGATGATTGTTATTAACCTTATTTGTATTTTAGATATATATACATATACATTTATATTTCTATGGCTCTCAGCCTTGGGTGCTATTCTTTAGAGGTTGACGTGGCATAAAAACACAAATGTACCTGTTAACTGCCACACAGACAAAACCTCCATTGTTTCTTTACATGAAACACGCCTGGTTGTACAGCAACTCTTAGTAATTCATCTAAACTGATAACTTAGTTGGTTAGTTGAACCTAAACTAAGTGTATTTCTATAAATTTTTAAAGCCCAGAGCTAGTGGCAATCACTTGCCCAATCACTTGGAAAAGCCTATTCTGCAAAAAAAAAACATTTTAAGCTAACTTATCACAAATGTTAGAAATGGAAAAACATTGATCAGTTATTAATCTGAGTGATTTCTTCCATATGTTATAGTACATTTCCTGTTTTTTCATATGAGTTCTACAAATTACTAACAATGGTTTGCTACTCTCTGAATGAGTTTTTGTAATCTATATAATTAATATTTTTATGTTTGTTTCACTTTAGGTCATAAATCTAATTAAAAATATTTTTTTAGCTTCATAGAATTATTAAATTGTACAATGGAATTAAAATAATAATGTTTGTACTTTCTGTCCAGATTGAAATCACTCTGTTTATCTCTGATTGGTGTTAAACAGTAAATATAATAAGTTGAAATTACCAGAAGCAATTTCCATATAAAAAAAACACAAACACACACTAATTAGCCCTAACTGAGCCAAAAATCATAAACTGTGAATCAAAACCAGTTTTAGTGTCAGTCTATAGCAGATACCTGCCCATTTCTGTTGACCTGTTATCCAAATAGGCAAAGAAAACTCCTTTACTGAATGTATGTCAGGCAAACACCATCTCATGCTGCTCTAGGCAGAAAGTCATCTAAATCCACCATTGCTTGGTGTAAAAGGAGCAAGTACCTAGCTGGCATTTGTGCAAGAATTGACCATATGGGTATATTCTTAATTTTCCTCTTATTATATCAGTTTATACTGAACAGTAAACATATCTTTAATGTTTAAAAAGAAAAAAAAAAATCTTTTTTTTTTTTACTTTTAAACATCCCTAGAAATTAGTTGTTGTTGTTTTTTTGGTTGTTTTTTTTTTGTTTGTTTTTTTGGGAGGGTGGGTAGGGGAGGGCTTTTTTTGGTGCTTTAGTCCTTAAGTTTTGACATATTCCCAAGTGATGACTGTTCTGCCTTCTCAGTACATGTTGAACAGGCTGGGGTTGCCTCAGGTGAGTGATTCTACATTTCTTTTTAGCATTTGTGTTTGTGTGTGTGAGAGAGAGTGAAAAAAAGGAGAATGT